TTTTTCCAACTGAGCCCCACCCACCTCAAACCAGGAAACAGAGCACAGAGAAAAGCACAACTCCAGAAATGTGAAAACAACCCAAAAAGCCAAACTCAGAAGTGTTCAAGTAGGATCCCATTGCTCTCAGCAAGAAACTGATTGAAGAAATACATTTTCGGCCCCTTTAAAACTAAAACTCTGGTATTTTTACAGTAGTCGTTAAGCCCTATAATGTAATTCTTAGACTCTGTGTGTGTAATTACAAAGAACCTCTAAAGGATTGTTATGGTTGCCCTAAACTCCCTCATTTATACAGCCAGGACCTACACTCTCACTTATAAGCAAGAAAAACTGTGAGACAGGATTACATTACAGGGGAATCAATTCTAACTGGATTGTTATAATTAGATGACCTGAGTTTGCTAAAAAGTCTGTAAGTAATTTTCTGTGTTTTTATCACTTTCAGGATTTGGCAGGGGTGCATGACACAAATTACAAATGCTGCTGGTAATATCTATAATTACAGAACCTGCAGATCAGATATTTTGTGTTTCATGAATGATGCTATTTAAACACAAAGGCAGCAGGAAACTGAAGCACAATGTGTCTATATGTAAACAAAGCTAAGTGGGGGAATGTATAGCTCACCTCTATGTCACACATACTAAACCCATTATACAGTATCATACAAAGCATTATTGAGACCGCATGCCAAACATCAATAGCCCAATCAAACTCTCTCTGTCAAGCCGATCAGCGAGACACAACAAATCGATCCCAAATAAAAGGCCATCAGCAGATCGGTCATCAGCTGGACGTTGATACACAAATGAGCACAACAGCAACAACAATGACAGCAGCAGTCAGACAGGCTGATCATTACACACCCTCAGCAGAAAGGGGAGAGGGGAGAGGAAGACAGCTATCTGAGCTCCCAGATAGAGTTTGGAGAGATGTGTTAGCTAAGAAAGGCAAAGATGGTGAATAAAACAGAAGTCCATATCCATTGCGTCAAGTTAAGAAATATCAAAGCATCAGAAAGTACAAGATTGGAGGGAATAGTTGTGGAATAAGAGCAGGAGCATGTATTTGACAGCAAGAGTATAAGAGTGAGGAGGAGCAGATGAGAAAAGACAAGAGGTAGCATTATATCTCTATTCGAGAAAAACTGAAACAAAAAAACAAAAACAAAGGGAATTTCAGTAAGAGACAAAAACCTCAATAAAGACCAAGCCTGGGAACTTTCAACAAAAGAAATGCTCATTTTCAGCAAAATGTCACAGCTTGGAGTGCCACTGTAGACAACAAACACTAAGGCTGTTCATCCTACCTGAGTTCCTCTTGGAGATGTACTTGACGCCGTCACAGGCTCCTGAGGCGAGGAGGAGGAGGAGGAGGAAGAGGAAGGATAAAGTCTTCATCTCTCTATTCTCCACTTTCACCTTAAGAAAACAGGACATAGTGGGGACAAAGTTGTTAGAGATAACAGCAAGCAGTGCAAGCTTTCCTGATGCTTCCTATGATTATGTTGTATAGTGTCCTATAGTGTGATCTGTTGTTGCAGCGAGGTTTGGACAGGATCCAGATAACCTCTAATAACAATCCAAATACAGCATTTAACCAACAGCAGCACTTCAGAAGTGTGGCATCTTCATGAGTGGTGACGCCATGTCGAAGTGTTCATTCTGACTACTAAAGTAGATTTTCATAGCCTACTGTCATTTTGTTTGGTCCATTATGGTGTGATTTAAGTTCATGATATGTGTGTGTGTGCGTTGGGGGACATAAATCTCAGGTCTTGTAAGCATTTAGACAAATCCCTAATGGCACAATTTTTCTGGTGAATACAATCTCTTCTGTAGCTTCACGCTAACAGCATACATTATATGCTATATACACACTGACATTAGCAAAAGCAAAAAAGTTAAAAAGTTGCACAGTTTCATGGTAACTGTAATATTGTGACGGTTTGGAAAGCGCATTGTTTCGGCAAAAACCAAGTTATGGCAAATTGACATGATGTCAAGGACCTACTATGCAATTTAAAACTGGTTTAACAGACATATTGCCCTCTCTCACATTCAAAATACTAATTATTGCATGTAATGCACAACTTAGAGAGGGTAGTGAGAAAGCCTTTCATTGCATTTACTATATTTTGCCGCATAGTTCAGCACCATGGACAGAGACGGGTCTAACTATCATTCACTTGTTTAAACCTTGCAGAAAATCCAGACATGCACTGAATTACATACTGATTTCTACAGTAGTAAGTAACAAAGGGGTGTTTGAAAAACAGCAAAACAACAAGGCAAATATGGCATACAGTAGATTGTAATAATACATGCATACAATAACCATACAGTGCAATACTTTCAGTTTCAACAAGTGCTACCTTAAGTCCAAGTTTCCTGTCTAAAAGGTTTCTCCTATAGTTCAGTCCAACAGCACCCAATGAAACAGGCAGTGAGTGCTAAGCATCAGGCAGTCCAACATCACATCTGATCACTTGCTTGCTTCTAACATCATACGCTTTGACAAAGCCAACAATTGTTAACTAATATTACTATTCGTCAAACAGCATTAGGCTGCTGTAGACGATTATTTGCTCTTTGCACAGCAGAAATGTTTATCGGATTAGAGGAGGAAGACCTTTCCATCCTCTTACCTTCTGGTGCTGTAGGCTGCTATTTGTTTAGTCCATCAGAGGGTAGCACCGGGGCCTTAACTGGGCAAAGTCTGTCATTAGATCATCCATGTTTGATGTCTTTACCAGTGCAGATTCCACAGACATAAGCATTAGGTGCTTCAGTCTATCATCGCTCATTGTTGTTCTGAGATTATTTTAAACAGAAAATAATCTCTCATTGGATGCTCTAGACACAGGCGATGTCACAGTGATGCAGAACAGCTCAGTACTGGAAGCTCTGAGAATGCGCTCAGCATGGAGTTGAGCTTATTCAAGGTGGACAAGATTTAATTATTTAAACCTGATTCTAAAGTACATTCCATACATAACTAATGCCTATGCAGTTTATCTCAATAAACTGAGTTGCAGCTTTGTCATTATTGTCTTGGGTGCAAGTAAATCTATAGTAAAATGTGTGTGTTTTTGTTAATACGACCTGGAAGTAAAGAATCAGTCAGCGGTTTTTTATTTTTCAACTACCTGCGTGCCCATGCTAAAATGACAGATGAGTCAAAACAATGTAAAGATCCCACTGTTGGAGCATTACTGAGACAAATATTTAATTTATTTGATGATTTCAGTGCTCTGTTTTTTTTTATTTGATATGATTTCAGATGGATGTCTGTATCTCACAGTGTTTACAAGCTACAAATGAAAAAAACAACAAGTATTGTTGTGTATGAACTGCAGACAGTGAAAAACCAAACGTTTTATTATCACTATGGCAGCGAGAACAGCAGGAACAAAAACATTAATATTGATCTGAAACAAGGATTTGGTGCAGTTGTGAAAAAGAAAAATCGATTTTTTTCAACTGATTAAAATCAAAATACGGAGCTAAATTAGATTTGACCATGGGCATGAATACAAAGGCTGCAGAAGCTTTGGGACACACTCGCACACACACAAACAGGCTTTGAGCCACCCTTGTGAAATCACAGTGATAGAACACAATCAGATTTTCTCATGCGTTCTGTGTACAAACTGTATGCGCACACACACACACATAGTAAACCAGAGAAAGATCGAAGAAGATTAGCCATGCCAGCAGTCATTTCATTGTATTTTTCATACACATGACAATAAAAGGAACTCAAACTTCAGCTTGAGTGCTGATTGAAATCACATTGGATTCACATGAAAAGTGGGAAAGCTGATGATTGAGCCTGGGATGGTGTTGATATGTGAGCCACAGTTATTTGCATTTGAAGATGGGCAATACAACGATGTGGATCTAAAAGTGGGATCAAAATCGTGTTGAGAACAAAGCCGAAAAA